CGTTTTAGCATACTCGCCATCTGTGAATGGTTTTCCGTTCCTCACTATTGCTAAAGAACCAGCAAAGCTAGCCGAATTATAGTCACCTTGCCGGGTCCATACGCGGAGTTGCTGCTGGCTAGCTTGCACCCTGCTCAGAAGCTCTTGGCACGCTTTCTTTCTGCTGTCTCCCGCAGGGTATTTTGATGCAAAGGTAGCGTGGCGCGTGTCGAAGTGCCGCTTTACATTCGACCGTTTCAACGATGTAATTTTGTCATTGCAAATTAGACACACCGCAGAACCCGCTCTCTCCACAAAGGCGAATTCTTCGGTCCATTCGTCCTGAAATGTACGATACTCGTCGTCTTTTTTTCTTTTCGCCATCTTCTTCGTCGAAGGGTTAGCTTTGAGCTAATGACCGAGCAGACGCAGTCTCAGACTGATTCAAAAGGGGGTGTTTACCTGTTTTACCCAGCAACGGCAAACGTAGGCCAGTATCATCCAATTAAAATAATGGACAATTGCTCCTGCAGCCCTGAACAGGACATGCGCAGTGAAAAATCGATGGATGGATTAAAACAAGTGAGAATATTTTGTTTTATCTGCGAGCCATATGCAATCATCAAAAGAGCCACATCTGGCTCGCGAGCCATAGGTTCCCGACCCCTGTTTTAGAGAGATGTATTGGTGTGGTTTTGTCCAGGGCTATGGGGTTAATGCCCTAGCTCTTCATCAAAGAGCTTCCACGGGACCTCTGGAGCCAACAGGGAAGGTAAGGGGGGACTTTTGCATTATTTTTTTTACATTGCAACACATGGCACCTCCGATCACAACAATGTCCCCCACGCGCTGTGTAACGTGGGGTGCATTGCTGCTGACGGGGCAGAATTACCTCGCGGAGCATTCATTTTGAACAAGTTACCTGATGTGGATTTTGTTTGTTTGTTTGTTCATATCTCAACCTCACGAGTGAAGAATAGGGCAATGCATGTATCGTCAGAGTTTGTTTGCATGTTCACTACAAGTACTGTGTGTGGTTAATGCAGTAACTTGATTCTTTGCAAAAGGTTTCTAATTTGGTGTTTGAACATTTTTACACCAGTTTTTTTTTTCCAGAAAGGATAAACACCTATTATTATTTTTCATAGTAAGTACAGATGTTTAATTGATCTCAAAGGCAACTAGGAAGGGAGGAATACCAATGTCCGGGCACTTAGCCAACAATTTAGGGTCATGATATTTAACCGGGTTTTCAAATGAGACCGGTTGACAATCTGAATCTAGTCTCCAATTACTTTACAAAAAAAAATCACAAAACGTTGTTCGTGATAAAAATGTCATCTCTCTGATATATGTTTGGGTTGTACCACGTGTGGTGTACAATGTGCGTGTTCGACGCCACACGGTGCGACCTGAACAACACATCTGAGAGTTGTAGGCCATAACGGGGTAAACCTGCACACGAAAGCAGATTGAGAAGTCACCACAGGCAAATGTTGTTTATTATTAGCTTTGGAACGAGTCATCGATTAAAATTGTTTCAAATGGTTCACGACGCATGGATTACATTGTGCATTTACTAGTTACATGCAAACGTTATCTCCAAGATCGTAAACGCTCGCGAGAGAACAATCTGAAGAGAACGTGAGCGACGGGCAATACAAATAGAGACAAAAGGGAGTGGATTCCAGAATTGAATCTTCATCTTGAATCATACCAAGTGAATCACCACCACGCTTCGTCGTGTCCTCTTTGTGACACCACACCTGCACAACCAGGGAGGAGTGATGGCACAGTGGTTGGCACACCGTGCCATGAACCTGCTCACTTGTGTTCGATTCCCATCCATGGCTAACACCCAATGGTAAATTATCTCTGAATTGGTCCTGGAGTTCCTCCTTTCACCAGTCCGCACTGAACAAGCAAGGCCAAACAAACCGCCGCGATTGACATGGCATGGGGGGGGGGGGAAGGCTTTCATCCGGCAGCGGATTGACAATTCACTCCCCCACCACCTCCTCCTCCTCCTTCTGCTAGGAGCCACATTTGTTGCACAGTCGACTCCTAAACCCCTGTGATCTGCTCGTGCATTGTCCTAAACGTTCAGACTCGAGGTGTTTCCCCCTACGATTGGTGCTGTGGCGGAGTGCATCGTTCAGCCTGGATGCGTGCGGCATGCAACCTTCATCCCCCCCCCCCCCCACCACGTTCGCACAGCACCCAGCATCGTGGCTCAGCTTGAGTGGTGATATGCTATCAGGGGCGGGGACAGGACTCGTGGCTCTTTGAGCCACCGTGGCGCTGCTCCAACGAGTAGCTGCGAGGCGAACTTCGATGCTTCCACTGCAACTCGTCACTTCCTTTGCTTTATTACCCCCAGCAAAACATTACGGCTCGCACTTGCGCGTGCATGCGCTGAGCGGCTGGCCATCGCTGGCTGTCTCTCGTAGTCGTTTGGAGCTGGGGGGTGGAGGTGCATAGCGTTGGTCAATTGTAAAAAAAAAACTGATATCGACATTTCTAAGGATTCATATTATTGGTTCTTTCGGTAAAGTCACGTAGAAGGGAAACAATAAAATAATAAAAATTTTAAACAATAAAATTCTCACGACGTTTCGACTGCAACGCAAGCAATCGTCGTCAGGTGTGAAAACCACAGCAAGAAAATTTGAAAAAAGTGGCGGTTATTTTTAACGTTAGTACCACGGAGAGCGATTTGACAGTTTGTTCAGATGGACGAGTCCATCTATGTTCTGAAAAGAGGAGGGGGAAGACGAGAATAATGGATGCGGTCTGAAAGCCACCGTAAGCGTGAACAATCAATTAAGACCCGAAATGGTTTAACAAATCCTTCCAATGATTGCAAAGCCAGAATCCATCTTCTCGGTTGAAATTGTCTCTTTTCCGAACATAGATGGACTCGTCCATCTGAACAAACTGTCAAATCGCTCTCCGTGGTGCTAACGTTAAAAATAACCGCCACTTTTTTCAAATTTTCTTGCTGTGGTTTTCACACCTGATGATGATTGCTTGTGTTGCAGTCGAAACGTCGTGAGAATTTTGTTTTATATTTTTATTATTTTATTGTTTCCCTTCTACGTGACTTTACCGAAAGAACCAAGAATATGAATCCCTGCAGTCACGAAAGCTTTAAATCAAAATTTCTAAGGATGTTTTTAATTTTGATTTAAAGCTTTCGTGAATGCAGGGATTCATATTCTTGGTTATTTCGGTAAAGTCACGTAGAAGGGAAATAATCAAATAATTAACATTAAACAATAACATTCTCACGACGTTTCGGCCACAACAGAGCGCTGTCTTTCCAACAGCTCTGTTTCTTCACCTGAGGACGGCTGCTTGCGTTGTGGCCGAAACGTCGTGAGAATTTTATTACGTTTCATTTTTATTATTTCCCTCCTATGTGACTTTACCGAAAGAACCAATAATGTTTTTAATTGTTTTTAAGTTGCGTCTTCATTTTGTAAGTGCGTTGGTTTCATCTGGGGTCAGTTATGTATTTTTTCTACATTAAATGTGTGATCTAATTTCTTATTTCCTTATTATCGATAAAATAATAACAAGCGATTATTATTAGTGTTATAATGAAAATAAATTAGGGATCATGTAGGCATAATGGCTGTTCAACTCGATTGTACATCATCTAGCTTGGGAGGTGCAGGCATTGGAGTATCTTAACTGCAACATATACCTTTGCTCCTGCCATTTAACTAAATACAAATATAAAGCCCCTGTTCAAGAAAGCAATACGTTAAAACATTAAAACAACGTTAAACATTTAAACGATTTAAAAATATATATTGGTAGAGGTCCACCAACCAAGAAGGATCTTCATTAAACGTCTTGAGAAGCAGTTCAAGCTTAGCAGTATAAAGCATTATGAGAATAATTATTTAGCCTCGAGGATTAATCTGATGAGCTATGAAGCCCTTTTCACAGATGTCCAGTAAGGGCGGGTCAGCAGAGGATCGACAGGATTTATTTACCGGTGAATTAAGGCCTCCCCAATCCATTACCATTTCTCACGATATTTTCATGCAATAATACATTCTGCGTAAATATAGACTCGTGATAATTGTTCAATATTGATGTTAAATATACGCGTCCCAAATTTCGCTGTACAAACTGATGGGATGCAGCAATGTTGAAGGCCTGGCCACAGTTATTATTTCATATCTCATATTAATGTGTATTCAACTGATCTAAGGCCTAAATCTTGATGCCAACATTCCAGTTTCCCTGCCAAACAAGACCAAAGGACTGTCCTGTTTTCATATAAATCAGCTGTTGCCCATTGGCGTTACTACCTCACTCCCAATAATTATGGCACTTGGTCATAAGCATATTTAATCTGGGTTTTTTTACTTGTTTTTTCTGTGTCATTTATTTTGCTATTTCTAACTCTTATTAAATGTATATTTCTTATGGGCCCACTATTATATAAGGCTGTCTCTGACTTATTATATAAGACTGTCTCTGACAATGTTGTGCAAAGTGTAATTTTATAACGCAATTTGTTACATTTTCGTTAAGGATAATGATGGCAGTTAATTTCTGCCATTTGGGGAGAAACTTCAAGTGAATGCTACGATAAATATAAGGAATTTTACAAACACACATACTGTCTGCCATGTCTGAATGTTCAAACATTCCTTGTCTCGGTGATTGTCCGTGAGTTGCTTAGCTAAGACCTAATCGGTGTGCGGATCTCTAATTTCCTCTGCTGGTTCTGTGTTTGTAATTATCTCCATCACGTGATTTTGCATTACTGACTCTCCCGCTGTTTGAGACCTCGATCATAACCTACATTTTCACCTTCCGCTTACGATCGACTGTCTACAATTGTAATTGTTTGTACGTGTCTATTTTTGAATTGTACACCCCCATCCATCTCTCTGGTCTCTCTTTGAGTTAATTATTATCGCAACCGTTGCTGCAAGGGACCTTGAGATGTTTGCGCATAAATTAAAGTTGTAATTTTGTAATTTAATTTTGTACCCCAGGCTGCACCGGCAAGCCGGTGACGTTCAACGATAACGGAGATGCCCCCGGACGGTACAACGTGTACCAGTACCAGGCGAGCAACGCCCTGAACGCCGGTTTCCAGCTCGTTGGGCAGTGGCACAGGAAACTGCAGATGAATGTGAGTTCCCCGTCAATGCTTTCACCTTTTTGTTCCCGTTGCACAAGTCCATTTCGCCTCGATGACGGCATCAGTTGCGTTTAAGGCAACGTGACAAAATGCGTAAAGCAGGTGGGCCGGGAGAAGGCTATAGTCTCGAAGCCCAATGGCTAGTAGACCCCGACATCGGCATTTAGCTCCTAAACATCATGCCAAACGCAAGGGTAGAATAGAATGATGTACCCACAAACATGCTGTCGTTCGTGGTGCTGACTGTATTTGCGCAGAGTGTAACTGTAATTTTTTGTAGATGTCCGATTTTTAAAAAAATAAATCCGTCTTTAACTCATTCCCCTAATCACACAGTGCTGTCCCAAACACACAACCAATCAGTCAGTCGCCTCTTTGGGAAGGACCAGACTGATTTGCACACACCTTTGACGTCACTTCACACGGAATTTGCCAGATGTTGCCACTGCCATCCCACTAGCTTTTCAGCAACCTCTCATTCTTTTGTGGTTATCTAGAACAAAAAATCACAACTTAACCTCGAATGGTCTTCAAACGGTGGTGCAATCAGAGCAAATTGATTGTGTCGAATGTCTGCTTTTATATCTGCCAAAGAATAAAATAGGTGCATTATAATACAATCAAGGGCAGTTTCAATGTTCTCAAGCTCACGTGAAAGCTGGGCAGTCCCCATCTTCATTAGGCAGTCCTCAGTATTGTGACAGATAAAGGTGCAGCCCTGAAATACCTTGGCTCAGGCTACTGTTGGTGGAAGGATCTACACCACAGTGAGCTCTGGAGAGCCCCTGTACAGGGTTTTTTTTTTACGGGCCTACACTTGCACACGAGTCAGATGTCTTGGAAGCTGTGGGAATATCTGCTCTATATATATGCAACATATATGCAGAGTCAAGAAGCATGCAGAATAATCGAGCCACAGGAGGTCCTGTCCTGATTAATGGAATACGCTCTGTGTGACCTACAGCAAAGCTCTTCAACTGATGGCCTGCGGGCCACATCTGGCCCATGAAGGATCTTGCAGTGACCCCCTAGGAGATATGGCCCACTGAGACATGAATAAGAGATAGTGATGAGAGAACTGAAAGCGAGAGGTGTATATATTAGTGCAATAAATGTGGGGGTAAGCAGGTGAAAGTCGAGAGAGTTGGAGACAAGGGTTGTGCATTGCACACACATGTACACACACGATGACATCATAGATGCCATGTGACATCACAACGTCTACTCACGTGCCATACAACCTTACTTTGCCCATCGGCACATGCTGATTTGTATGATGTGACCACTGGAAAATATAGCTGAATTGTGACATAAGCACACTGGCTTATTTGTTTCTATTATTACATCTTTAAAGCCAAATGCAACGTTGTTGTACAATGGAGCTTCTATGTGTTAAGGTGTGAAATGTTCTTATAAGTTCAGGAACTTGTGAAAGCCACGGTAAAAAAGGTGAGTATAACTGTTGGTGCCCTTTCTGTGCCATCACTATCTTCAACCCCACTTTTAATCTGAACATATTTTTGACATTCAACTTGAGACCCATTTAACACGACACTGGCTTGTTACCACTCTACAAAGAACGTCGTAGATCGAGGTCTTGCTGTAAGTAAAACATTCAGCATTAAGCACGCGACACATCTTTGGGCTGGCGTGGGAAGGACGTGACTTAAACTCCATCTCATTCGGGCATTGTGTACGCCGCTGATGTTCAACGTGTGATGCCGTTGCAAGGAGCATTTAAAACGTATACGCAGGGTACTCGATGCTTATTGAACAGGGCCTTCAAGGCGCCACGTTAAGCGACCCCTACTGTCACCGTTTAGCACCGCTGGACGCTTACTTGAATAATTAATGGACGTACAAATGCTTGACATTGACTTACGAAGCCCTCTTGCGTTTTGTTCAGTAATCGCGTGCTCCTCACCCAGATCGCTGACGTTTAATCGTTGCCCCGTGACGCTCACGTTGCCTTGCCTGTTTGAGATGAGTAAGACGCCCGTATTTCGCTGCGTAATTGATGCGGACGATGCACGCTCACCTGCTCAATTCACCAATTTCCAGCATGCATTGGCAAACACTGCGCAGACTTGCTAAACAGTCGTAATAATCCATAGTAAAGGTTTTTGGGTTAGATCGCGTAAGTATAAATGTGTCTAAACCCTCCACCACCCAACACTGCCAATCAGTAAGGGATTTGTCTTGTAAACAAAACGCTAAATAGTTACAAATTCAGCCCACCCGTGTGTTGAAGAGTGAATCCACAACATTTACAATCTGAGTACGACGTTTCGCTGGTAATTACATCCAGCACCATAACAACAACAACAACGCATCGGATGGCACCATAATGGCACCCATAATTGAATCTGTATACTTTAGAATGCTATAAATATCCTTGAGAGCATGATGTACATGTTCTATGTATTTACACGTGCTACGTGTGTATGTATCTTGAACTTCTTGCAACGTACTTAGCCAACAGTGCTATTCGGAGGTGCTGCAATGATAATCACAATTTACAGTCATTTTGTCAGTCCACTGCTGGATGAGAGCCTCCCCACGCCGTGTCAGACATGGGTGATGTGTGACCATACTTCACCATCCTGGTCAGTGCACATGAGAGTAAAGGGGGGTGGGGGCCATGGACCAGTTCAGCTATCGCTTGCCACTGACTTAGCCACGGTTGGTAGTTACGCTCGTGTGTTCAGGTTCATAGCGCAATGCTTTAACCACTGTGCCACCCCCCCCCCCCCCCCCCCCCACATATACTACGTATTTACATGCGCCTCTATTTAAGTTTGCAACTTTTACTATATGCAAAGACAAAGGTCCCCCTTATAGCCTTAACAGACTGTTGGAGCAAGTGCTGGTAGAGAGCACACGTGAAGACCGTCAGAGCGCACAAAGCGGTGGGTGGCCAGCACCACGCCCGGCCGCCTTTGTCTTCCTTGTGACGATGTTTATACTCATTTGAGGCTGAGTCGACCTAGGGAAGGCCCAGGACCGGTTCAGATAATTGTCACCGGTGTTGGCCATGAGGAGGAATTGAACCCAGGTTACCGGAAATGTAGAGCAGTTTGCTAACCGCTACACTACCACTCCCCCTATAGAAACATATACTTAAATAAAATCAAGCAATAATCAATGTATTTAAACTAGGTGATATTAAGAGGGCTTCGGTTTAATGGGTTTACTTGCATATGCACATTCGCACGATGACATTATGTTGCTTGAATGAGCAGGCAGTTGTGTTATTTTTGTAAACATCGGAATTTCAAGGTGTATCCACGACATGGTTGTACAAAATTGTATCTCTGTAAAAGTCACTGTGCTGAAAGAGTTACACCAAAATTCTGATTTAAAAAATAAACACACGTGCCTGTCAGTTGGTTAAGTCAATTAAATCAGTCCAACTGTCATGTCGATAAATATATTCACGTCGAGGTTTGTTTGATTTTGCTTAATTTCTGCAAATACATTATAAAATAAATAAAGTGGAAATTGCATGGCAGAAGGCACAAGAAAGAGATGGTGGGAGAGGATGCAATGGGAGGGCATTAGGGAAGAGAGTTCATGCTGGCAATGTTAATTTGCACAAAGTAACGACAGGCACAATGCTGGGGACATGGATAAAGGGCTACACCTCATTTTGTACGCGAACAAATGCTAAACATGCAGTTACTGTGATCACATTACAAAAGGTGGCATGATATGCGTGTACGAAATGTTGTAAGGCCTCTGACAAAAAAAAATCGCTCGTTATGCACTCGATTTCACCAGACATCATCAAAAGCTGAGCACTGTCGAGCCTGACTTGTGCTCGGAGGGGCAAGCACCGTGCACAATTCGGTGTCATAGGCTGCAGCAGGGCTGTTTTCACGAGAGGCAAGTGCAGGAACCCCATTGTTGCACTACGCTATGTTCACTCCCGTGCTTATTTTCCCCAGCATCACTAGCATGCACTCACCAGCGCGGTGAAGTACGGTCGAATAACCCCGATGACCTGTACAGCCGAAGGAGGCCCCTCATTTAGCAGAGGAAAGACAAAGAGCGGTAAGTTTAAATAGATTTAATCTATTATTATTATTGCTTATTTTGTACTCACAGATGTGGCTGTGCAATGCACGCACAGTATAAGCATGGACGTTATCGCTGACAGGTGCCATCTCGTGATGGGCATATTACATGAAAATAAGGGTAAACACACAATATTGCAATTTCAGCTATATGAGGGAATTAATGTTAAGCTCCCAAAGGGACCAAATCTTTCAGGATTATATTTGTATTGTCACAAAAAAGATCATGCATGACAAAGAATTTCAAGCATGGTTTGATTAACCTGCAAGTCATTCATTATTAATGCTCTTATTTACACTGAAGACGAAGATGGCTTCTAATGTTTCCCAATAGATTTACCTTTGTTGTATAACTTGTAAAACTGACAAAAGGTTTCAAATGGTTCTAATTACAATATAATTTGACAGTGCAAAGTGGTCAACGTGCATATCTTTTCAAAGTGACTATTTCTTTATTCATATTTATTTGTGTTAACGTACTTTTTTTATTACAAATAAACATAAGTAAGAATGATGCAAAAAATGAAGAATATTTTTTATATATATACTTGCTATACGTTTGGAATGAAGGCACTCACATCTTTTATTATGATTTTGTTTGAAGATGTATGTAGCCCTAATTGGAAATCTGTGAAAAAAGCTTCATAGCTCATCGGATCCCTCGAATATAAATACAGATTCTGATTTTGAACTGTCCCTACCCAACCCCACTCTGTGTCTGGAGGAAGGGGTGGGGTCTAAGTGAAAGAGGCGGGGCCTGGATAAGGGGACGGGTTCTAAAAAAGAAAGAGGCGGGGCTTAACCGGGAAGGGGTGGGGCCTACAGAGCAAAGGGGCGAAGTATAAAGAGGAAGGGGCGGGGTATAAAGAGGAAGGGGCGTGGTCTACAGTAATCAAACCTCTCCTGTTGATTGCA